GGCCTCCGGCGCCTGCGGGCAGCCGTGGCAGGGCTCCAATAAACACCAGCCGCCCGTAAAGTCTGCAGAGGTTAAATAGAATGGGCAGTGCTCTTTTTACAATCCAGTACCTTCCAGCCATGAAACACGGTGGGCTTGATTCTTCACTATCACACCCAGTTTTATACCAGTGTCACTCCAGATTACAATCATTTATGGAGCAAGTGCGCGCGCGTGTGTGTGTGTGTGTGTGTTTCTGTCTGTCTGTCTATCCAAAGCTCACAAGAGAGAGTGTTAAAAAAAATACCACTGATGTCAACACATACAAGAAATTGCATTTGTGTCTCCATGTGGTGATGTATGCACGCCCTATCCCGAAAGGGGGGCGGATCACTGGGGCGTGTGTACATTGCTACTGCTGCTGTCAGTAACCTAAGTCAGTCCGTCACCCTCGGGCAGCACAGCTTAATGGCTAGTGTCCATAGAGTTGCGCCTTGGTTGGAGGGCAGCACAGCCTAATGGCCAGTACCGAGGGGACTGTGGCTAGAAAGAGGAGGTGGGGAGCAGCACCAGTAGCGAGGCCCAAGCCCCGACCCAGAGCCCCGGCAGTGGTGGAACAATCCACCTCTAGCTCAGTGGGGAATCCCACCAAAACACGCCAAGCTCCCTTGGACGGGAGATATCACTCGCTCGCCCTCCCTGGGTCACTTCCTACCGTCTCTGGTGAGCTTTGAGTCCTTAGGCTCCTCAGCACAAATGCATCCCCGGGGCTCTTCTTCCTCTGGCAACTCGTTCCCGTCTCCTAGGTCTCTGTCTCCTGCTGTCAGGGTCTGTAGCTGGTCCACCTCTGGAACTCCTGCCACAGGTCCGCCCTCTCCAGCATCCAGCCTAGACTGAGCGGAGCTGCTTCCTTTTATAGTATCCCAGCTCTTGGAGCATGCCCAATATGGCTGGGGGAGCGGGCGGACTTCCTCCACGCACAGTGTATTAACCCTTCCGGCCCAGTGCAGGTTGTGCACATCCCATTACACTCCAGTTTAGCTAAACTAATATGATGATTACCTAGCTTGTTGTAGCATTTTTTCATCGTGATCTCAAAGCACTTTCCAGGTGGGGAAACTGAGGCATGGGGCAGTGAAGTGACTCGCCTAAGGTCGTGCAGCAGGTCAGTGGCAGAGAATCCACATCTCCCAAGTAGCAGTTCAGTGCTCAGCCTTCTCAGCCACACTGTTCTGTGAAAGAGGCAAAAAGGCATCAACCAGACAGTTCCCTATTTGGAACATGTTGGAGAAAGCGTAAAAATTAGTCTTATTCTTTCCAAAACCAGTCTGACTTATGTCCAGTATATATGCTCTGGATCCAATTTCTTCCTGGAGCTACATAATTAGTTGGGCTGGTGTTTTTCAAAGGTGCTTAAAGGTGTTAAGGACCCAACTGCTGTGTCAGCCTGGTCCCCAAAACTCCTCTCTTTGGAAGTTCACCATCCTAAATGTAGATGATGTATGATTGTCAGGCTTGGTAGTTTTGAGGATACTGGTAAATCAAATGCCAAGTGCAGTTTATTGATTTTGAATTTTGTAAATCTTCCACGAAGGTCTGAGAGCTCATGCTGCCTCCCTTAAAGTGAAGAGTTTGTACACAGCAGATTTTAGGGCACAGTGTATTTTTCCTTCTTTTTTAACCGCCTCGGGGAAATGACTTGCCTGGCACCTCTGCAAATCAACAATCCATTATTGTTTCATTTCCTCGCCTCCTTTTGTTGGCTAGGACTGTGAAGTCGCTGCGTGCCCGTTCCATCCAGCGGCTCCGGACTCGAAAAGATCTCTGCTCGGCGTTCACAGGACACAATGGAGATTTGGATCCTGGACGCCGGTAAGTGTGGTGTCAGCGGCCACATCGATAAGACGACATGGTCTCATCCTGCGGCCTGTGTCATAGTGCAGCGGTAGAGGACGTCTCGCTCAATGACTTGTCGATTTTTTTTTTCCTAGTGCTCGATGACATGTGGGAAAGGGACCAGGATGAGATACGTCAGCTGCCGTGATGATCAGGGTTCAGTGGCGGGGGGACTCCCGAAGCCTTCGGCAACAGAGGTGTGCACCGTAACCCCCTGTGGACAGTGGAAAGCCCTGGAGTGGAGTTCTGTAAGTAAATCCAGTTCTTACCCCAGGACTTGCCTCTTCCTGGGTTTGTTTCAGCTGTTTCTCATGTACTCTGCCATCCGGTGCACTTCTGAGGGTTAAAGGTCTTTTGCTTAGCAAGTGGTTTCATTTTACAAAGCATCTCTCCAGCGACGTCTTTTCCGCTTGTCAATGCAGTGTTCGGTGACGTGCGGCCAAGGGAAGGCCACGCGGCAGGTGGTCTGTGTGAATTACAGCGACCAGGTGGTCGATGGAAGTGAATGCGATCCAGACGATCTCCCGGCCACGGACCAGGATTGCTCGGGGTCTTCCTGTCAGAACAGCCATGACTACGACAGACCGATCCGCCCTTTCCCCTACCCAGAGCAGCGGCCGAAACCCCACCCGGGGGGGAACCCCAGCCAGAACGCTGGCCCTGCGCGTGTCCCGGGAGGCAGCCAATGGAGAATTGGCCCGTGGGGTGCTGTGAGTGTCAGTTTATTCGCTTCATGCCAGACTGAGCTTGTGTTGCTTTCCCCCCTGCACGGAAGTGTAACAAGGTACCACCTCGCGCCCCTGCGCTCGCTGCCCATCTCGCTCAAACCTCTATGGGCCGTCTGTTCCTCTGCCCATATATGTGTCCTTAGCTCTGCTCCTCCGAGCCGCAGCAAGCACAGCCGGGAAAGTAATCGGTGCCAGGCATAGGGCTGGCAACATTGCTTCCCTGGAGGCAAAGGACTAAGGTGGGACCGGACGGCGCCTTTGAGTTAGTCTGGGTCTCGGTCTCCTCCTGGGGCAGCACAGCTCAGGGCTGGAGAACGATGCATTGCTAACGTCCCTCTTCAGCACAGCCGGGACGTGTGGGTGCAAGTTTCTATCCGAGTCAAGTCAGTGGAGTTGCTCCATGCACTGAAAATTATGCCCAGGCATAATTCCTTTGCTGAGTGGAGCCGAGGCTGGAGGTCTAGATTGGATATTAGAGGAAACCATCCCTAGATGGGTGGGGAAGCGCTGGGATGGGTTCCCTGGGAGCGGGTGGATTCTCCATCCCTAGAGGTTTGTAAGGCTCGGTGTGACAAAGCCCTGGCTGGGATGATTGAGTTGGGTTGGTCCTGCTTCGGGCAGGGGGCTGGACTCGGTGACTCCTGAGGTCTCTCTCAGCCTTGTGATTCTGTGGACTCTTCAGAACAATAGGCATTTGTACGTGATATACACAGACAGAAAAGCACGGGTGCCAGCTTCCTCATTTCCCCCGGGGGTGCTCGAACTCCCCCCTACCCCCCCCGCCTCAAGCCCTGCCCTTACTCCATCCCATCCCCCTTTTTTCTATTAACACTAGCTCCTTTGCAGAGAGGCAGGGTTTCCATTCCTGTCACCTGAGAGCACACCCGTCCCTGACGGGGGAGCCCCTGAAAGCGAGGCAAAGCCTGGACTTACGGCACCGTGGGGGGGTTGTGTTTTGCAGTGCTCTAGTACGTGCGCCGGGGGATTTCAGCGGCGGGTGGTGGTGTGCCAGGATGAAAACGGATACACCGCAAGGAACTGTGAGGAGAAAGCAAAGCCTGTTGAGCAGAGATCATGTGAATCTGGCCCTTGCCCTCAGTGGGCGTATGGCAGCTGGGGAGAGGTGAGCGCCGAGTTAACTTTTTCCTGTCTCTATCAAGCCGTAAACCAAGGTTTTCAGTCAGCGGGTGAGAGGGGGTGTTTAAAATGCAAGAAAAGAAATCCTGTCATGGGGGGCCAAAGGTTTCATTTACTAAAAAGCAGATTCTTGGGAGCCGCACCCGTTCTGTCATGGGTCTGACGATGTTTTCCGTTAAATATGTCACAGCACCATTTCCGGACAACGACAGAGTTTTGAAAACTCTCTAATTAAAACAGGCCGTTTTTGAGAGAAAAAGGTATGTCGGCTTGCTCTAGTGAGTTTAGTGTCCTGCTTCAGACAGCTCTAAAAGCAATGGGCAGAGCGGGTGGTTAGCCCTTTCTGAAAATTTGATTCCATTTAATGTGTGTCTTATTTTGAGCACCCCAAAATAGTGGCATTCAAAATCTCTGGTCCCTTCCGAAATTTAAAAAAAAATACCAACACCCTCTTCTGGGGCCTGCTCTGAAATCTAAGGCACTAGACCAGAAGGGCACCTTAAGGTATGCCGTCCAGTTACGTAAAATACGTAACTGGATTCGGATTATCTTAAGCCGAGCTCCCAGAGTGCCTACACTACAGGAGGCCGACAGCATCACACGCTCCTGTCTGCTTTCCGTATTCCTCGCAGAATGAGGAGTATGGGACGCCGGTGGGGACCGCCCTTAAGAGTTTGATTGGGTGGGGGCTAATTCTCATTTGGGGGGGCTAACTGCAGGCTTCTTGCGCAAAAACTTGTGGAGCATCTACACTGCACGCATGTTCTTGCGCAAGTAAATTTACAGTATAGCGTCAGAACAGAGGGCTTCTTGCGCAAGAGTTATTCCTCTCTTCACGAGGAATAAGCCCTCTTGTGCAAGAGCTCTTGTGCAAGAAGGCAGTGTGGATGGGCAACAGGGGTTTCTTGCTCAAGAAACAGCTATGGCTAAAATGGCCATCAGAGCTTTCTTGCACAAGAGCGCGTCCACACTGCCCTGGACGGTCTTGCACAAAAGCACATGGCAGTGTGAACACGCTCTTGCGCAAGACCTTTTGCACAAGAACTCTTGAGCAAAACAGTTCTTGCACAAGAACAGTTCTTGCAGTGTAGACATAGCCTGCAAGATTGACCTCCTGACAGTCGATCTTCTCCGTAGTGCAGACAAGCCCAAATCGATTTCAGTGGGGGTTGGCTCAGACAGCACTACTCGTGTTCAATGTGTATGTTATAAGACGACAACCACGTTCTCTGTTGCTTTCCCTTTTCTAGTGCACAAAGTCATGTGGTGCAGGAACAAGAACACGGCTCGTGGCATGCCAGCGCCCTAGTGGCGAAAGGTTTCCAGATCTGAGCTGTGAAATTCTCGACAAACCACCAGACCGTGAGCAGTGCAATATGCAGAACTGTCCTAGAGATGCTGCCTGGAATTCTGGTCCTTGGAGCTCGGTACGACCATAAAATATTTATCTTTGTGACTCTTTATAGATGTTCCATAACCACAGATTTAACATGCTTGCAGCCAAGGTGTTACTATTGTGTGTCATAACACTGCACTTACAGAAGATTTACAGTATATTCCAAGGGGCACAGTCAGGAAGGGCTTCCATTAGCAAGTTAAACTCCTTTAATTTAAAAGGCACTTTCTACTAGATAACCAACTTTGTACATTTTATAACAGTGCAAGCACTATGCATTACCAGTCTTGGTTATGACTGAGTTCTTTGCATGCAAATTAAAGCCTGTCATTTTAAGCAGGACATTTAAATTTAAATGAAAGGTTTGATTATATTCAATATTACTGTTTTATTGTGCACTGATTAGTGCACCTGTTGTATTTTCTCGGCCAATTCTTGGGAGAATTCTGGTGCTAATTTGCCCTCACTCGCAAGTATATGAGTTTATAAGTGTGTAAGTATTTTTTTATAAATACATGCACATCCATCCGGAAAACACATGGAGAGTCCTACATTCGTATAATGCATGTGTGTGTGTGTGTGTGTGTGTGTGTATATACACACACACACATACATACACACACACACACACACACGTGTGTGTGTGTGTTTGTTCATATTACATGGTGCGTCTACACTGCACCCGGAGCTTGAAATAAGCTATGCAAAGTGTGTCGCTTATTTCGAGTCAATTTCTTATTTCGAAATTTGGCACTTATTTCAAAATAAATCACTATTCCGAACAGTCCCTTACTCCTCGTGGAATGAGGTTTACAGGGACGTCGGAAGAGTTCGGGCTTGCTGTGAAAACACGGGATAGTTATTTCAGGCTCCGGTATCTCGAAATAGCGCTGCAGTGTAGCCGTAGCCGTAATGTCCTTTATTTTCACAGTGGAGGTGGCTTTTAAGCTACCCTTGACTATTTCCCCAAGTGTTAGGCCAATCTTGGACCATTGCTCTAAATTACACTCGGTACCAATGGTACCCCAATGGATTATTAGGGCAGCCAGGATCAACAAGAGTTAAGGAAGTCTCCTTACTCTAGGCCATGTTTCCAGTCCAACTTCTGGTGGGGCTTGGCATAGTGGTTATACTAGCTCTGTACCCCTTGGATCACCCCAATGCAGGAGAATCATCCCCCCCACGGCTCCAGCAGTGCAAAGTGACTCTAATTCAGGGGATGATCCAAGCCATCGTCTAGCGTCCTGTCGCTTAAAACTCTACCCTGCCCCGCCTGGCATCTGTCTGCTCTCCACAGAATAATACTAACTTCCTATACGAAAGGCCCACCAGTGGAATTTTAGTGCTCCTGGCTGGTTGCTAACGCTGAAATGAGGGTGGGACTTGGATTATGCTCTAGGTAAAAGGAAAACCCTTGATGTGACCGTTTTAAAATGACATGCAAACACATCCAAACGTATATTTTGCTATAACATAGCTGAAGGTCTTTTAACGGTGATTTGACTCGAAAGCACTTTATTATTATATATGTATAAAGAGGCCTTTGTAATCTCTTGACTTGCTTCAACACTTTGGTTTTAAAAGTCACATTGCTGGAGTTTAACTTCACCGTAGTGTCTGTGGATGCTTTTGGTAACATTTCAAATATTTTTTTCATACCTCAGTGAATTATGTGATAGCCATACAATAGCTGACTTGTATTTATACGGTGCTTCATCCTTACAAGGGACAGTGACAGGAAATCGTTAATTTGAGGTGCTAATGTATCACTCTGATCCTGATAGTTGGTGCTAAAAGTGAACAAACTGAGCACGCCTCGATCCACAGTGCAGTTGTTTTCTCCCACAGCTACGTCCTGGGAATTGCTGCTAAATTGTATTTCATGTGCTTGAACATTGGCAAGACCCACAACGGGGACAGACTGTTGGGTTTTGGCATCGTCTGGCGCTTGGCATTGCCACAGCGTCAATCGGGGACAGACTGTCGCGTTGTCCCAGCTCTGGTGTAACTTGTCTGTTTCAGTGGAGTTGTGCACACCTATACCACAGCTGACTCTGACCCCCATGGTTTGATATATAGGGCTCCATCCTGCAGTCCTTCCCCAGTCAAACCTCAGGCTAGCGATGCCAGGGGTCAGTGAGCTGAGTCAGGGTGCAGAATCGTCTTGCAGGACTGGGATGCATGCTGTAGTCAACTGAGTCCCTAGTCTTAGAGTCATTAAGTTTGCTTTAATTCTTCAGTGGAGAACCTTGTGAGCAAAGTATTCAGCAGCAGTATTCAGTTACCCCTGCCTCCCGTCCTTTTTCATGCAAAATTCCCACTGGAGAATGGTTTTCAGAACTGAGCTACTATTATTGCTGTGTAGGGTCTTGATCTTTCATGCCAAGTGTCTAAACTGTTGTTTGCCCGAGCTCTGCCTTAAGTACTCCAGAGCTGTATTAGAGGACCTGGGTGATCATCTGTGAGCTTAACAAGGAGCCAACGTTTTGTCTCCCCTGGAAAACATACCGTATACCCGTATCCCTCCTTTTTGAATTACCACGAGTTGCTACAGATTGTAGTAGGAGAGAGTCCAATTTTTCATTTTGTGCCACCTCACTTGCCTCTAGGTCTGACATCATTCTGTAGCCTGTCATACTTCGTCTGTTTAGATGGAGTGTCACTACCATATTTTTGGTCACTTTTGAAACAAGAGTATAGTATTAGCTGAAACTTTTCAGCAGTATGGATTGATGTATTTATGTAATAAAGTGTATTTATTTTTCCAGTATTGTTATTTAATTTTATATAAATATTGCATACTGTTACAATGTTTAATGTTAACCTTGAGCCGTGAAAATTAAAGAGAAGTAGAATGTAATGAATTTGTATAATGATTTTTTGAGTCTTATGCTAAACTGCAATAATACACTTGATGCTATAAGATGGCAACACTTTCTGATTAGGTAGTATACAGTTGTATCTTTCCACAGTTTTAAAAAAAATCCTTATTGCTCATTTAGTGTTTCTCTCATGAAATCAGTCATTCGTACTAGGGATATAAAATCCCAATGAATTGGTTAACCCAAATGTAGTGTTTGACTAGTTAACCAATAAAAGGGGGGACAGGTGGGCTGAAACACCTCCTCCCCCGGTGCAAAGGAATGTTACCCATTTACTTCCCTAATTCATACTGAGTAATATAAACAAATATATTTAGAAATACATTAATTTAGTTACTTTTTAAGTAATGCTGTTGCTCTTAAGACCTCTCACTGTGAACTATGAAATACAGATGAGTCGTTCCATGTAAATATTTAGCTGGATAATTTTCTTGCATAATTTGACTGAAATTTAATATGTAAAGCAAACCTTAGTTCCCATGGTGTCCAACATACTAGCCACATGTGGCTATTTGGCTGCTTGAGTGTGGCTAGTTGGCTCACAAAATTATTTATGTTTTCAGAATAATGTAGCTAGTTTGCTATAGCAGTAGGCACTGTAGAGGCTACTGCTTCAGATCTGGTTGGATACGCCAGCCTCGGACTGTTTATTAATATTTTGTCCTGCAGCCCTTCTTTAGGCAAATTCTGTGGTGACCTTTTATGAAATTGAATCGGGGGGAGTTTTCCTTGACTTATACACTGCAGGATTTCGCTCAGAGATGTGTGTGAAGTTGTGACCTTATCATATGGGATGGCTGGTGTAAATGCACCAAACATTACCTTTGTACCTGGGGAACCAAAGAATCACAAAACCACGGGATGGCTTTCAACTCCTTGTTTATTCAAGAACATTTCAGACTCAAGCACTCCTCATCCATCTGAGGGTGTGTCTAGACTACCTAGTTTTGTCAACAAAAGTGGACTTTTGTCGACAAAACTATACCAGCGTCTACACTACCGCTGAGTTCTGTCGACATAACGTCGACAGAACTCAGCAGTTTTGTCGACGCTGGTATACCTCATTTTACGAGGCATAACACCTTCTGTCGACAGAACTCTGTCGACAGAAGGTGTTATTGCCTGTAACATTGCGTCCAGACTACAGAGTTCTGTCAACAAAGCAGCTTGCTTTGTCGACAGAACTCAATGTGTCTGGACGCTCTTTGTCGACGGAAGTTTTGTCGACAGTATCTGTCGACAAAACTTCCGTCGACAAAACGCAGTAGTCTAGACGTACCCTGAGAGACTTGCTTTGGGAGCCATTCCGTACAGAGATGGTGACTGCAGATAACAAATGCTTCCTTAAGATTAGGTGCATCTTAAGCTTGGCTGACAGAGAACAACTTTTCTTGCAAATGGTGACGGGAAACCATCACATGCTTTGAAAAACCAGGTCGCCAAGAGGCGATATACTTGGAACATGAAGGTGAATCCCTTTGTCCGATACCATTCTCATCCCATTGAAGTCAGTGAGAAAACTCACATTGACTTCAGTCGGCTCAGGATTTCACCCTCCTGGGTATAGAATCCCAACTGAAACCATTGTTCGTTTTTTGCTCTCACAGGTCTGGAAAAATTGGAGGCTAGAGTTGTGAAAGCCAGTTCTTTGAAAGAATAAGCAAATCATATGGCACCCGCTAGCAATATCTATGTATGTATTGAGGGGGGTCTCATACGCTCACTGCCTGAGTATTGCATTCAGCGGTGTTAATGGGAGGTATGTAAAATGCTTGCAGGTGAGACTGTGGCCCTTTTCAGCTGTTGTATCCACCCAGGCAGACCAATTTAGGCCTTAAATCCTATAACTGTATCTGCAAAGCAAGGTCAGATTGGCTCCATCCAGTTGATCAAACACCTGTCAGCGATCCCAACTTTGGTTGGCTAAACAACAGGGTTACTACCACAATGCAAGCAACCTTATTAACACTGACTCCTTCAAACGAAAGGCACGCATGGGTTAGCGGGGAAATAATCAGGGTCTGTGTTTCCTGAAGGAAATGCTTGCATCCGAGTGTCCCTAAGAGATAGCACAGCTATTCATAGGTGTGACAGCGGTATCCTGAAAATGTGACTCATCACAGGCCTCACAATCTTTTCACTTCTTTCC